TCACCAGAACAACTACAGCTTATTGAATTTGTTCTGGTGAGTAGAATCATTACCTTCAGGCTTTTTGCTGTAAACACTGTCTTTTCATAGAAAATTACATCACAGCCTAGTGATAACTTCACTGGCCACTCCTCAGATAGCTGTTAGAGATCCTTCCTGGGGCATGGCTGCCTAAAATGCATCCAAACATTCAGTATCTCCTCCCTCTGCTTGAAGACACTGAACTTTTCTCATAGAGATTCATTGATTCAATTCATCTCTATGAGGAGATGCTGATTGGCGAGGGCTGTGTTTGAATTGTGCTGGCTCTGCCCCTGATTTGCCTCCTTGTCAGTCTCAGCCAATCCTAAGGGAAAGCTTTGTGATTGAACCAGGCTACCACTTCTGATGATGTCAGCAGACAGCTTGTTTTTCTGAGGCAAACATGAGGCATGCAGAGTTACGGCTTCAGGCTTGAATACAAGTAAGATTTTACTATTTTAGGGTGGCTAGATGGTGGTTTTAACCCTATCGGGTCAGGAATACATGTTTGTGTTACTGACCCTAAAGTACTCCTTTAAGTATCATGGAAACAATATAAACTGTATCAATATATGTTTAATGGATATTAAATGTTGCAAAATATTTAATGGACACAGAAAGCCTCACTGTCAAAAAACTACTTTTGCCTAATTGGTGTTTGAGAAAATAAGGAAAGCCAAGTCAGTCAGATGTAGTGATTGCATGCCATGGCAATGTACAATAAATTGAATGTGACAATGCTGCATTTGGAATACAGTAATGGACATATTGCAATCATGAAAATAGGATTCAAATTTAATTAATGTTAAAGAAAAAAAGGAAAGTAGACAAATACTTTAAGCCCAACATGATTCAGACTGGCAGCTGTGAGTTTCATTTAAAAGCTATAAACCAAGTTAGATGTGTCTTGCAAGGGCTAGTCTGCTTGAAGTCATTTAATGTGTTAACTGATGCTAACAGGTCTAGTTAAGCATATGCAAAGATAGCAATACTGTGCACAACATTGTCTTGGTATAACTGTATATTTTGATATCTACCAAATAACAAGACAATGATAATTATTTTAAATGATGCAGTGCTTAAAGATAGATAAGAGGTATGCTATCACAAAAAAATACATCTATATATACCCTTACCAATTGTTACAAATTGTTACAAAGGTTATACTTAACTTTGAAAGGTGGTGAGCAGTTTAGTAAATGCCTTCCCAGGAATTTATCCCCCAAAATTCTTTACTATGGACATATATACAACATATACAATGAAAAAAATGACATAAGATCTACACAAGAGGAATACACAACACAATAGTGTAACACCATAAAGGTGCCTCCTCCAATGTAGCTGGGGGCAGAGCAGTTCACACCCTCTAGGAAATGGATGATTTGATCCTTCAAAGAACCTCAGCCGGTATTTAGTAAAAGTTAAAATGAATTATTCACAAAGACTAAAAATAAAATGCTGTACAAACAATCTGTTTTTACAACATTTTATATTTATTCATTTACTAAATACAGATCTTGGCTATTGTGTTGTGTATTCCTTTTATTCTAGATCGTATGCAATTTTCCCATTGTATATGTTGTATATAAGGCAAGATGGACTAGTTATGACTGTAATAATACAGTAAAAATACAAATATTTTAGTGTTCCAATGAGCATCTTCTCTATAATTAATTTAAAACTTAGCACTTTTTCTGATAACCCTGTAGGCCCCCTTTACACCATTCTGTCAGATAAACATAAGGCACCAGATATATCCCAGAATTCTTTACAATATTCATCATGGTTATTTTTTCAATTTAATGATTTAATTTGATTTTTTTTTGGTCTTTTTTAAATCAATCAATGAGTTTTATTTTTTTAAATAAAAAACATATCTCGCTTTTTTATTTCCTTTGTCATGCTTTGAAATATAGAATATAAATATAAATACAAAAATATATCTTTCTGCTTCATAATCTATTATCACCATACAAATTTAATTTGAATATAATAGAGCTAATTTTCAATATATGCTATGTTGCAATTGTTCTTCAAACATATCTCCATGTATTCACAGCTTAACCACTTCTCTACCAGTCCTCTACAGGACTTTTTAACATTTAAATAAAGAAAACAGCATTTATGTGAAACATGGGATGGATTGCTATAACATAAAGATAGCATCAAACAACAATTTTGTGTTTGAATTGCTTTTCAAAAATACCTAAAATACATGCATGTAAATTTGTATAATTTCATAATTTATGCATTCATTAATTGTTTGAACTTATGTATACATAAATACTCAGATAATGAAGTATTTAGACACATCCTAAAATATACAAATATACAATATTTCTAGCAGGAAGTTAGAGATTAAAGTATATTTAATTTTTGTTACAGTATAAAAACATACAGTAGTACAGTAAGCTCATATGTGTAGTGTCATGGCAAGGGTATATAATTTATTATTACACTATGGAATATCATCCTTTAATGTACAAATTACAGAGATGCTATGGTCAACAGGGGTTATATCATTTGAAGCTGGGACCCCCACAGAGGTCAGATGACAGAAGGGGTAGTGTGAATGGCATAGCAATGTGAAAAGGATTTTACTATATGGATGTGAAGTAATCAATGATCTGCAAGGTGTGAGGTTCTACACTTGGAAAAAGTCTGAATGTCTCTTCATCCATTTGGCATGTACCTTGTAAAGGATAGTTCAATTATTTGAAATGGTAATGGGATTCGTTTCATGAAGATCCTTTTGTTCTAGTATCTTATCCAAGTGAAACATTAATACTTACCCACAGGTTAATAAGCCTCATTTTTATTATATTTGGAATGGGACAAGCCCAATCTTTTAATTAAGCCTAAACATGAGTTGCACAACTGAAACCGTGTGGCAGGACTTGTGATGTCCGTCCTATTGGATTGTGGGCGGGGCGTGCAACATGTCTTTGGAATGGGAAAACAATAACAAATTCATAGAGGCAATTATTATTTCTGTGGCAAGTACAGTAGTGGAGATAAAACCAAAAGTTTGTATGTGGCTTGTTGTTTTCTGGAACAAAGGAGGTGGTCACTTAGTATCCCTATTGCTCCACCCCTGGATGAGGCGTGGCAATTCACAGGGTATATCTCCTGTGATCCTGAAGGGTGTTTGTGTACTTGCTTGGGGCCAAGATCTAATTTTGAGTGAGTCACCATCTTTTCTTGCCAAAGACCCCCTGGGCAGAAGTTGTACTTTGAAAACCTAAGTGAGTTATTAGGACTTCTGTATTTTATCCTTTTTGTTTTCATCTGTTGTTGGTGTAAATAATTTGTTTATCATATATTGTTATATGCACTGTGATTAATTTTTGCTCATAATAAACATTAATTTATTAAGTTTTGCCTTTGTCTGGTTAAGAATCACGTTACCTGAAGAGACTAGTTAGTATTTTTGTAATTCCTTGAATATTGTACTAAGTAATATTTGGTGGGTTTTATTGTTGATTTACCTGGGGGACCAAGGCACCCCATTTATAAATTGTCTTGGTGGTGGCAGCGTTAAAATAGTAATAGTTATATTATTATATTTAAGTGTGGGTGGTGTTAAAGGGGGATTTTGTCATTATTTCCGGTCTAGTGCAGACAAATAGTGTACTTTAACCCTTTCACCACCACAACTACGTCACGCACACTCTTGGAGTAGGGTGCGTTCGTGACATATAGGATCTGTAGGACCTGATGAAAACATACTAAAAATTCCAAATAAAATATAATAATACACTGCATGCTGACATACATACAGTTACACCTGGCATCTGTACTATACATTGCATTGGTAGCTAATATTGAATCTTAGCACATTCATGCATGTGCTAAAAGGCCAATATTCTCACACTCCCTTGCTTAGTTTAAGTAAATAAATCATATCTCAGATAAAAATATTCACTGTTATTCAGTACACTCAGCATATTCACTCAAATAGCTATTGGATGGGAAATATTTGCTGTTGTGTGGACTGTACATGCATAGAACATATAATTTAAAAAAGCACCAAGGATCATTGAATTGAACAGCCTTTGGTGTTATAAGACTCTCTAGTCCTTCAATACATTTAATATGAAAAGGGCATTATTTGGGAATGTGGAATAAGGGGACATACTCACGAACATCTTCAAGACACTTCAGGAACATATATCCTATGAGGTATAACATAGAAACATAGAATGTGACTGCAGATAAGAACCATTTGGCCCATTTAGTCTGCCCAATTTTCTAAATACTTTCATTAGTCCCTTTATATTATAGCTAGGATAGCCTTATGCCTATCCCACGAATGCTTAAACTCCTTTACTGTGTTAACCTCTACCACTTCAGCTGGAAGGCTATTCCATGCATTCACTACCCTCTCAGTAAAGTAGTACTTCCTGATATTATTTTTAAACCTTTGCCCCTCTAATTTAAGACTATGTCCTCGTGTTGTGGTAGTTTTTCTTCTTTTAAATATGGTCTCCTCCTTTATTGTGTTGATTCCCTTTATGTATTTAAATGTTTCTCTCATATCCCCCCCGTCTCGTCTTTCCTCCAAGCTATACATGTTAAGATCCTTTAACCTTCCCTGGTAAGTTTTATCCTGCAATCCATGAACCAGTTTAGTAGCCCTTCTCTGAACTCTTTTTAAAGTATCAATATCCTTCTGAAAATACGGTCTCCAGTACTGCGTACAATACTCCAAGTGAGGTCTCACCAGTGTTCTGTACAATGGCCTGAGCACTTCCCTCTTTCTACTGCTAATACCTCTCCCTATACAACCAAGCATTCTGCTAGCATTTCCTGCTGCTCTATTATTATTATTATTATATTTATAGAGCGCCATCAAATTCCGCAGCGCTTTACAATGGTTGGACGAACAGACATGTAGTTGTAACCAGACAAGTTGGACACACAGGAACAGAGGGGCTGAGGGCCCTGCTCAATGAGCTTACATGCTAGAGGGAGTTGGGTAAAATGACACAAAAAGGTAAGGATAGTATTAGACTAGTGACAGTTGCAGAAGAGGAATCAGTCAGGAACTATTAACAGTTTAATTGATACGCTTTTATGAAGAAGTGGGTTTTTAACTATTTTTTGAAGGAGTGGAGACTGGGTGAGCATCTAACGGAGGAGGGAAATGAGTTCCACAGGAACGATGCAGCCCTCGAGAAATCTTGAAGGCGAGCATCAGAGGTAAGAGTACGGACAGAAGATAGACGTAAGTGGCTAGATGGGACATACTTGTGTATAAGGGAGGATAGATAGGTGGGAGCAGCATTATGTAGAGATTTGAAATCAAGAACCAGAATTTTAAATTGAGCTCTATATTTTATAGGAAGCCAATGTAGGGACTGACAGAAGGGTGAGGCATGGGAGGTGCAGGCGGACAGGAAGATGAGCCTCGCCGCCGCATTCATTATGGACTGTAACGGCGCAAGTTGGGAGCGCGTAAGACAACTGAGAAGCGGATTACAGTAGTCAAGGCAAGAAAGGACACTGGAATGCACCAACACCTTAGTCGCATCTGGTGTTAAGTAGGGGCGGATGCAAGCAATGTTTTTGAGATGGAAATGACAGGATTTGGCGATAAATTGAACATGAGGCTTGAAGGAGAGGTCGGAGTCAAAGAGAACACCTAGGCAGCGAGCCTGTGTGGTGGAGCTGATGGTAGCACCGTTGACTTGGAGGGAGACAGACACAGGAGTAACAACACTTGAGGGAGAAAGGATCAGAATTTCAGTTTTGGTCAAGTTTAGTTTAAGGAAGTCCAGTTAGAAACAGCAGAGAGGCAGTCAGAGACACTAGGCAAAAGGGACGGGGAGAGATCAGCAGAGGACAGGTAGATTTGTGTGTCATCTGCATAGAAATGATATTGGAAGCCAAAGGAGCTAATGAGTTTACCAAATGAGGCAGTATAAATGGAGAACAGTAGGGGACCAAGGACTGAACCTTGGGGTACACCAACAGAGAGGAGTTGGGGAGAAGAAGCAGAGCCAGAGAAATAAACACTGAAAGAGTGCTGGGAGAGGTAGGAGGAGCACCAGGAGAGAGCAATATCTTGTAGACTGATATTGCGGAGGATGAGAAGAAGCTGTTGATGATCAACAGTGTCAAAAGCCGCAGACAGGTCAAGGAGAATTACATTGTCTGCCTACCTTTAAGTAATCAGAAATACAGGGAGTGCAGAATTATTAGGCAAATTAGTATTTTTACCACATCATCCTCTTTATGCATGTTGTCTTACTCCAAGCTGTATAGGCTCGAAAGCCTACCACCAATTAAGCATATTAGGTGATGTGCATCTCTGTAATGAGAAGGGGTGTGGTCTAATGACATCAACACCCTATATCAGGTGTGCATAATTATTAGGCAACTTCCTTTCCTTTGGCAAAATGGGTCAAAAGAAGGACTTGACAGGCTCAGAAAAGTCAAAAATTGTGAGATATCTTGCAGAGGGATGCAGCACTCTTAAAATTGCAAAGCTTCTGAAGCGTGATCATCGAACAATCAAGCGTTTCATTCAAAATAGTCAACAGGGTCGCAAGAAGCGTGTGGAAAAACCAAGGTGCAAAATAACTGCCCATGAACTGAGAAAAGTCAAGCGTGCAGCTGCCACGATGCCACTTGCCACCAGTTTGGCCATATTTCAGAGCTGCAACATCACTGGAGTGCCCAAAAGCACAAGGTGTGCAATACTCAGAGACATGGCCAAGGTAAGAAAGGCTGAAAGACGACCACCACTGAACAAGACACACAAGCTGAAACGTCAAGACTGGGCCAAGAAATATCTCAAGACTGATTTTTCTAAGGTTTTATGGACTGATGAAATGAGAGTGAGTCTTGATGGGCCAGATGGATGGGCCCGTGGCTGGATTGGTAAAGGGCAGAGAGCTCCAGTCCGACTCAGACGCCAGCAAGGTGGAGGTGGAGTACTGGTTTGGGCTGGTATCATCAAAGATGAGCTTGTGGGGCCTTTTCGGGTTGAGGATGGAGTCAAGCTCAACTCCCAGTCCTACTGCCAGTTCCTGGAAGACACCTTCTTCAAGCAGTGGTACAGGAAGAAGTCTGCATCCTTCAAGAAAAACATGATTTTCATGCAGGACAATGCTCCATCACACGCGTCCAAGTACTCCACAGCTGGCTGGCAAGAAAGGGTATAAAAGAAGAAAATCTAATGACATGGCCTCCTTGTTCACCTGATCTGAACCCCATTGAGAACCTGTGGTCCATCACCAAATGTGAGATTTACAAGGAGGGAAAACAGTACACCTCTCTGAACAGTGTCTGGGAGGCTGTGGTTGCTGCTGCACGCAATGTTGATGGTGAACAGATCAAAACACTGACAGAATCCATGGATGGCAGGCTTTTGAGTGTCCTTGCAAAGAAAGGTGGCTATATTGGTCACTGATTTGTTTTTGTTTTGTTTTTGAATGTCAGAAATGTATATTTGTGAATGTTGAGATGTTATATTGGTTTCACTGGTAATAATAAATAATTGAAATGGGTATATATTTGTTTTTTGTTAAGTTGCCTAATAATTATGCACAGTAATAGTCACCTGCACACACAGATATCCCCCTAACATAGCTATAACTAAAAACAAACTAAAAACTACTTCCAAAAATATTCAGCTTTGATATTAATGAGTTTTTTGGGTTCATTGAGAAAATGGTTGTTGTTCAATAATAAAATTAATCCTCAAAAATACAACTTGCCTAATAATTCTGCACTCCCTGTATACGTATATATCACTATATATACCTATATATAAATAAAAATATTTTAAAAAAATTATATATATATATATATATATTTATATATATATATATATATTTATATATATATATATATATATATATATATATATATATATATATATATACATACACACACACACACACACACACACACACACACACACATATTAATTCTACATATATTTCTGTAATATTTTTACATAATTGGGTATCTTAATTACAATTAGCGGGACCTGCCTGACAACCCATGCCGAAAGTAAAGGGAATTTAATTTGCTAGCACTATATTTGACCCTATAACTTTCCAAGACACCATAAAACCTATACATGGGGGGTACTGTTCTACTCGGGAGACTTCGCTGAACACAAATATTAGTGCTTCAAAACAGTAAAATGTATTACAACGATGATATCGCCAGTAAAAGTGAAGTTTTTTTCATTTTTCACGCACAAACAGCACTTACACGGACGATATTATTCCTGCGATACTTTTTACTGTTTTGAAACACAAATATTTGTGTTCAGCGAAGTCTCCCGAGTACAACAGTACCCCTCAAGTACAGGTTTTATGGTGTTTTCAAAAGTTACAGCGTCAAATATAAGGCTTGTGTTTCATTTTTTCACATTAAAATTCGCCAGATTGGTTACGTTGCCTTCGTGACCCTATGGTAGCCCAAGAATGAAAATTACCCCTATGATGGCATACCATTTGCAATAGTAGACAACCCAAGGTATTGCAAACAGGGTATGTCCAGTCTTTTTTAGTAGCCACTTAGTCACAAACACTGGCCAAAATTGGCATTTTTTGCATTTTCACACACAAACAAATACTAACGCTAACTTTGGCCAGTGTTTGTGACCAAATGGCTACTAAAAAAGACTGGACATACCCCATTTGCAATACCTTGGGTTGTCTACTATTGCAAATGGTATGCCATTATGGGTGTAAATTTCATTCCTGGGCTACTATAAAGTCCCAAAGGCAACGTAACCAATCTGGCGAATTTCAATTTCAAATGTAACGTGCTATATTTGACCCTGTAACTTCCCAAAACGCCATAAAACCTGTACATATGGGGGTACTGTTTTACACGTGAGACTTTGCTGAATACAAATATGTGTATTTTATTGCAGTAAAAGCAAACAGTATTATGACATTGACAGTTAAAATGTCATGTAGAACTAAAAAGAAAAATCTTATTTTCTCCCATTTTTTTCATATTAAATTATGTTTCATAGCTAAATATTTGATATTAAATGAAAGCCCTGTTTCCCCTGAATAAAATTATATATAATAAGGGTGGGTGCATTTAATATGAAAGAGGTGAATTACGGTTGGACAGACATGTAGCGCAAATGCCAGGTTTTGTTTACATTTTGTTTCGTTCACAACGTGTACATTTGGCTCCGTCCTTGTTTTGTTGCCGGTGTTTGTTCCCCTGTATTTCCTGTCCTTGCTGGTTTCCTGATTTTGCTGATTACTGCCTGCCCTGACCTCTGGACCGTCTGATTCTGATTTCTACCTGACCCTTCTTCGGATACCTTTGCCTTGGATTTTTTCTGTTATTTTTATTAAAGCGCAATCACTGAACCAACAGAATCCTGTTCTCAACCTCAGGAGCTCTGTGGATCGTGCTTGTAAGGGAGAGCTGTTAGTGCACCTGAATTCCAAGACTGAACACGACCCCAGTAATTTGTTACAGATATAGATACATAGTGATATTGCTGACCTAGCAATTCACTTCCTGCCAACCCCTTATTACAAACCTCATCAAAAAAGTTGCAAACCACTATATATGGTCCCCTGAAGCTATAAACATATTTGAAATGAGAGCATGTTGATGGCATGACGTGAGCCGTATCCACATCCCATTGATAGGTTTGATTTATCAAAGAACATTCCCTTTCTGCATCCTATGCATCCTGCATCTGTTGTCTAAGACATTCCCTTAGCAATTCATCTTTGGGATCCATCTCTGTGTTTCATTTAAGACTGTATCCTTGACACTCATCAAGCCCTGAACTCATATCCTCTGACTGGTGTGCAGTCTCTGTGTGCTAGATTTTAGGTGTAATGCTCTCTTGATAGTGAGTAGTTTGGGGTTCAATATACATGGTGTCAAACACTTCTCCTGGCCATGCTAGTATTGCAGCAGGGTACCTGATTACTGATAGGGAATATGTGTTGATGGCATGGATCTTGTTCTTGCCATGAAGCTGGACACCATGCGCTTTCCGACTCTCTGGAGGTACTTGGATGTTGGTGTCCTCCTTGGACTCTTCTTAATGGCTGCTATGTGTTCATGAATATCCAAGGTACATGTAACTTCTTCACCCCTGAACTTCAACTTCTAATTTTTAAAAATACATTTTATCATCATCAACCCCCACTTGTCTAGTGCAAACAGTCCAATGTCCTTTATGTACATTCTAATTAGGTGGATCAGTGAATTTATTTTC